GATGATGATGGTTCATTTAACTTCCACATGTCTCTTTATGCAAAGAATTTGATTGAGCTGAGGACTGACAGAATATGTGCGTGATAATGACCAACTGGAACAAATTGAAGCCTTATTATAAAGATTTTAGCATTTATTCAATTCAGTTGATCTCCTGTAATAAAAATGCAATTTGATGAAAACTCAATCATGGTAATTAGGAGATTCCCTCTTATGTCTCATACCAATTTCATCACTTTTCAGATTTACCTTGTTTGATGGCTTTACTGCTCTGAGCACCACTGTGGGTCTCTGATTCACTCTGTAAACAAATTGATATTTAATCAGTCAGCACTGGAGGCTTAGTTTTCCTTGCTAGAGTGCAGCTGAAGAATATCAACTTTTGATGGGAAACAAAGGTGATGCAAATTAAGCATCATCTGTAGCTTCCTTTTACCTCCCATGAATTAATTACCGTAGATTTGCAGTAGAGGTTCAGATTTAGATTCATTAGCTATAGCCATTGCAAAATATACACAGTAACTTAAGTCTCCTAAACATATAGTTAGTCAATTGGCTAATTCAAGATTTGTTTAGCACCCTCCATCATTAGGAGTCTTATTCAAAGTTATGGCCTGGAAATCATTTTGGTATCTCAAATTTGCTCAAATACTAAACTTTTATTCAGCCACTCTAAATAAGCTATATGACCCAAATGACAGCCTTCTTCCTGACTCTATTCCCAAACCAGTTTTCAGCAAATTTCTTTTTCCTTCCCTTCCTGCCTTTCCTTCCTTCCTCTTTCTTTTTTTCTCTCTCTCTTTCTTCCTTTTTTTCTCTTTCTTTCTCTCTTTCTCTCTTTTTCTCTCTTTCTTTCTCTCTTTCTCTCTTACACTCTTTCTCTCTTTCTCTTTCTCTCTTTCTCTCTTTCTCTCCTTCTTTCTTTCTTTCTTTCTTCCTTCCTTTCCTTCCTTCCTTCCTTAGTTCTTCTTCCCAAAATCTGATCATCATGGTACTTACTTTATGTGCAAACCAAAACAATATCTCCTTTCTTACCTTGCTAGTGCTAGAGGACAAAAAAACAAACAAACATATATGACTGGGGCCAGGGAAATTGGATAAGAATGCAATCAGTTCCTGGGCCTGCATTATTTGGTTTGTTAAACCTTTCCTATAATGATAAGCAAATAACTTTCTTTCTTCTTACAGTCCCAATTGGGAGTTCCTAAACAATTAGCCAAAATCTAATTGCCTCATGATTAGCTAGGAAATTTTGCTTCAGCTAGTCCTCAAGTAGAATGCTATACATTGCATTGGAAACTGTCCTGGTAAAATCCATATCATTTTCATTTGTAAAGATAGCTTAAAAAGGCAACATCAGTTATGCATGGTCAGGAGCACAAAAGTCATATAGTTTTCAGTTCTTAAATAAAGCATATATAAGATGATCAGAATGTAGAGACAGGATTTTCCTTCTACAGGCAGTGTTGTTTGCTTGTTGGTTTTTTTCTGATGTATTATTAAGTCCTCTCCACATAGTTGAAATGCAGGGAAGTCTGCCCTTTGGCAGGTCAAAAATTCTGTTAAGCCTTTCTCTACCGCAGATAGTAGGAATAATACTAATACTCATGCCAGTCCCCAATCAATGAACACCACCAATATTTTCAGCTTTTTTTTTGTTTTTACTACCTTAAAAGGTGCTACTCACAATATTTGCTATATACTGAACCTTCTTCTCTTTGACTTCCAAGTAGTGGAATTTTGGGCAAAAGGGTATAAAAACCTACTGACTTTTCATAATTTCATAATTTTAAATTCTATCCAGAAAGTATGAACTAATTCATAGCTCTACAAAACTTATATTAATGGGCCTGTCTTTTCCTAGCTGGTCCAACATTGACTACTGTTATCTTTTTTTTTTCCCTGTTGCCCATTTGAGGGGGTTAAGGTCAGACCTCAATACTGTTTTAATTTCAATTTCTCATATTATTAGTGTCTTGATACAATCTTTTATAAGGTTATTGATGGTTTTCAATTCTTTTGGGAAACTATATCCTTTGACTAATTTTTTTCCATTGGGAAAGGGTTTCATCTGTTTTGTCAACTCTCTGTACTTTGGATGTCAGATTTATTCCAGAATATTTGATGTCAAAAGTTTTCTTTTTTTCCCTGAACCATTTCTTTTCTTATTACAAAGACATTGAATTTGTTCAAGGAAAAGATTTTTTAAACTGAATTTGGTCTTTGAATTAACAAACATTGATTTTTCTCCCCATCCCACCTCCTCTCTCCTGGAAAAATGGAAAAGAAAAACAAAACCCTTGAAACAAATGTGGATAGTCCAATAAAATAAATCCCCACATTGGGCAGATGGTTAGCTTTTAACCTGCATCTGAAACCACATACAACAATAAGCAAATAGATGTACATCCTAAATACTAAAGTTCACAAGGCAAATAAATTAGAGAACAACAGAGAAACTTTTCATAGCTGCGGCTAAAGAGGATAGAGAGGGGAAGTCATAATCAAACAAGGGACAGAGAAATTTTTTTAAAAACTAAACATACTATTTTGATTATATCAAGTTTAAAAGTATCTTATATGTCTACCCATGTTCTCTTTCATCAGAGATACCTGTGAAGACTTATATGAAAAGCTTTTTAATTTGAAAAATATCTCCTTTAATTCTTTTCAAATTATGATGTGAACTTTAATAATTTAATATTCATTAATAATAATTTAATATTTAGATTTAATATTTAGATTGCATTTTGCTTATTGTTGTATACAGTGTCAGGTGCTAGTCAAAAGTTAACACACACCCAAATGCAGTTCAGTTTTTCCAGTAATTCATGTTGAATAGAATCCTTCCTCCAGAAGTTTTTGTTCTTGTATTTACTGAAAACTGAACTGCTGTATTTGATTGCTTAGGGGTCTTACTAATCTAGTCATTTCCAATGATATGCTCACAATTGACGTAATATGTTCAGATCTGGACAACACAGATTGGAAAAGACAATAAGCTAGAAAGTCTCCAGAGGAGGGCAAACTGAATTGTGAAGGATCTTGAGTCCATATGAAGATTGACTGAAGAAACTGCGGACATTCTGCCTGGATAAGAAAAAGCTCAGAGGTCATGATAACTATTTCCAAGTACTTGAAAGTGTGTCACGAGGAAGACAAAGTAGACTTGGTCTGATGGCAAATCTGGGAGCAAAGGATTGGAATAGCCCAAGAAAATTTAGGTTTGAGATCAAGGAAAAACTTCCTAATAATTTAAGCTATCTATAAGTGAAATCAGTCATTTCCAGAGGGAGTAGGTTCTCCCTCACTAGAGGTCCTGTGATTCTTAGAAGAAGGCTCTTGTGTATTCCTTTATTATGGACTTTCTCTGGTGCCTTTGGTAGTTACTTCTGTGTACTTCGTTTCCCCTGTCTGAAAAAATGGAGTCAGTAATATAACACCAGTCAGTATTCTTACTATAAGGAGAAAAAAGGAACTCCATTTCTTCACCTTGTAAAGGAAATCACATGGCTATAGCTAGGGACAAAAATTTCATCGCTGGATATGTGGGAATTTTGTGTGCTGAAGGAGGTAGGAGTGGGTCAGAGAATCAAAGCATTCAGGTCTGGAAAGGACCTTAGCAATCAGCTTAGAACCCCAATTCCATCATTTACAGAAGTCTAGACAGGTTAGGTGATTTGCCCAAGATCAATACAGGTAGTGAATAGCAGATCTGAGTCTTGAATCAGTTTTCTGACCTCAAGATGGGATTGAAGTTATGTGAGGTTAATTTATCCTTAAGATGTCTTGAGTTAGTATTCTCTTTTAGCCCTGCTATTGTAGCTGTCCTTGGTGTAATGCAAATAATCATTCTAATTATAATTGGCATAAGCCTGAAGTCCATGATCTAGCTAGAGGCAAACATTTTAATGTGATTCTAATTTGCTATGTTTTTTAAGATTAAAAACCTTTTATAAAGGGTTTTATTCTTTATTCACACTTCTTTCTCCTACTTCCTCAGTTCAACCCCCCCCCATCAAATGTTCATTCTGATCACCATGATAACACCCCAGTCACACAATGATCACTTTCTTGACACTGATATGCATTTCTCTGTTCAAAGATTCCCAGGACTCAAAGGACAGAAAACCAGATGGGCCTAGACTTTCCTAAGTAAGTGTACATACTGAAGAAGAAGCTTATGTTTCTCAGCTGCCTGCCACATCAAGCTCATTTCTGGCTCTACCCTACCTCCATTCCATAAAACCTTGAGTAAGATAACAGAGCAAGGGACACATAAAAATAAAATGGGCTTTTCATAGGGGCAGGTCTCTCATAGCTTAATTTTGATTTTTTTCCCTACTCTTCATGTATGTACCTGCTGAAGCATTCTATCTCCCTACCCTTATTAATGAAGTCACACATCTGGAGTTTGACCCTCTGCCAATTGCAAGCACTCCCTTCCCCCCTTTTAGCATCCAGACGGGGGCAATCCTTATACCTCTTTCCACTTATTGTCAATCACATCATCTTGGTCTCCAATGAAAAAAGAGGAACCGGTAACGTCGATAAAGCAACACTACTCACTACTGTACACTATAATTATAGACATAGCCAACACCGGACTGCGGAGGTTTCCCTGCTGCACAGTGTGAAGGAGGAGGGGGCGGGAGAAAGGGGAAAAAGAAAACAAGACACTGAAAGGCGGGAAGGGGTGCAGACCCTAAAAGAGAGAGACGAGAAGGGGGAGAGAGGGGGGTGATGAAGAAAGAAAAGGGAAGAGAAGAGGAAGAGGGAGAATCAAAGACTGAGAAAGTAGAGAAAGGTGGGGGATGCAGAAAGGGAGGGAATGTCTTTGCTGGGTGGAATACTAATCAACCTGTCTCCCTGTCTGCAGCAACCCCATTGCCTGCGCTGCAGACTGACTCTGACTCTCTCTCTCTCTCTCTCTCTCTCTCTCTCTCTCTCTCTCTCTCTCTCTCTCTCTCTCTTCTCTCTCTCTCTCTCTCACACACACACACACACACACACCCTTCCCCCCTCCCCCTCCCCTCACATGAAAACACACGTTGGATTCCCTCCTTCCCACACCTCTCTCTCACACACTCCCCCAGAGCCCGTGAGAACGAAGCACTAAAGTAGACCCCTCTAGCTCTGGCGGCCACTGCTTTTCTTGGAACTTACACCCTCTGTGTCCGTCTACTTCCCTCTACTAATCCCTTCTTCCCTGTCCTGGTGGTCCCCTGCACCTTCACGCACCTCCCCAACCTCATCCTGCTCCTTTGATGGCTGTCATCAGAGACCTTCGCGGAAGCCCCACTATTTCCACCTGTCACAGTAGAACTGTCTCGCAGCCCAAGTTTGAAGGTACTTGGTTTGCTGCTGGAGCTATTGCCGCCGCCGCCGCTGTTTCCTTCTCTACTTCTTCCTCCTCCTCCGTCTCCTCCTCCTTTTCTTTCTCTTCTTCGGCGCGGGCTTAAAGCCTAGGAGTACAGCCGAAGCCCCGGAGCCCATGGCAGAATTACCAGCCTCCCTAAATTTTTCTTCCTCATCCTTATCTTCGCCCCCTCTGCTCCCTCGCTTCCTCGCGGTGGAGCCTTCGGAGAGCAACATCTGGAGCAGGTGAGCAGCTGTTGTGGAGCTCCAGTCCGAGATCAAAGGGTCCGCTTCGCCCCGGAGCCACAACACAATCTCTCTCTCTCTCTCTCTCTCTCTCTCTCTCTCTCTCTCTCTCTCTCTCTCTCTCTCTCTCTCACACACACACACACACACACACACACACACACACACACACAGAGGCAGACGCTACACACTGAGAGAGAAACGGGGGTAAGAGAAAGAGAGGGCAGGAAGAACCCCGTTTTTCTATATTTTGGTCAACTTGGCACGAACCACTGCAGATGCACCACAGGTTACTCTTGGGGGGTCTCGCTGCCTCCCGGTAGCGGTGCATCAGGTCACGGTGGCGCCTCTGGTGTTGGCGCTCTGGTGTTGGTGTTAGCCGTGCGGCAGCGGCGGCTGCCAGGGACCGTCAGTATCCAACGGTGCCCTGTGATCGCCACCCGCCCCCTCCCTCCCTCTCTCCCGCCCCAACCTCTGTTAACCATCGCTAAGTAACCTTCTCCTCCGGCTGCGGCGGTCCCGGGTGACATGCAGTCCCTTATCTCTCCGGTGACCAAGGCGATTCTGGTGGCTTTGTTCATCTTTGCCATCCTCCTGATCCTCTATGTTATCCTTTGGTACATCTGCCGCGATGTGGATTGCGACCACGGCATCTGAGTCGGGCTGCGGGGCAGCCTTGGAGCTGGAGACTGCTTGACAGTGGAGTCTCTCAAGGGGGGGAGGGGGCTTGATAAAAAGAGAGCCAGACCCAGAAGAAAAGAGCTGGGATTTTTTTTAAAAAGAGAGAAAGAAAGAGTGAGAGAGGTGGAGGTGACGAACGGTGGTGGAGACAAGGAAAAAAGGAGAAAAGGTGGGCATGGGGGTGGGGGAAGAAAGAGAGCAGCCGTCAGCCCCTCGGATCCGACGACCTCATCGAAACCCGGCAGGCAAGAACTACATCTAAGCACCGGCGACCTGGAATTGACCTTCAGACAGCAGGGTGACCCCGGTGAGTCTCCACTTCTTGTTTACACAGCCCCGGGAGCAGAACCATGAGTGGGTAAAGGGGGAGAGAGAGAAATGAAGATAATGTGTAGAGGGATAAGGGCTGAGGTGCCAGGAGTGGAAAAGCCACAACTTCTGGGCAAATATTTGTCAGCTAGGCTCTATGACCAGAAAGGACCCCCACCCCCTCCCACCTGGGGTTGCAGTATCAGATTGTTTTGACTGTTTCAGGCAGTGGGCTGGGTAGGCATGTGAGGGAAAGATCCAGTTCTGGGTTTTCCCACTTGGAGGAAGGTTAACCTGCTCCAATCTTCTTTTTCTTTTTTTAAATTCCTGAGAGGTAATAAAGGAGGGGGTCTGCAGGAGGGAAATAGCCTAAAAGTGTTGTCTGTATTTCTTGTTGTTTTGACCTAAGAGAATTTCTTCTCCCCATTCTGTCTTAAGATGGGACATTTTGGATAGATGTTTGGCGGCACAAGGCTCTATGGTTTGCGTGTTTGTTCCAGGGCTGTTTGCTTGGAAGCATGTTTTTTTGTTTTTGTTTTGTTTTGTTTTGTTTTGTTTTGGGAGGGTGCATTTACCTTCACTAATTTTTCATAGAGACAGAAGATGAGGATGGGTATTGGGGGGAGATTTGAAAGTAAGTGAATTTGATAGCTTTGCAGCCCCACATTGGTACGCACAAGATAACTGCACTGCTAAACAGACCATAAAGGTGAGCCCAAGGGATTGGGAAGCAAATGTTCCATCAGTTGTAAAGGGAAACCCATCTAGTAATTGAAAAAAAAGAAAAGAAAAAGCCCACAGATTTGAAGCAAATACTCACCTTAGAGGGGGAAAAAATGCAACTTTTTAGAAGAGAACCTAACAAGACCCTCCCTTTCCTCTCTGATTCAAGAGTAGATCAAAGGCAGAAAATGAACCTTCCCTTCTAAATAAGGTGTACATGGAGTTCTGAAAGGCTGAAGCATTTGATCTGGTCTCAATAAATATTCTTCTTGTTAGCAAGTCAATTGCCACCCTTTTGACATGTTCCTCTAGAAAGGGGGGAAAAAGAACTTGTTAGAAGAAAAAAAAGTAACATACTCAAATATGTTGATAATTTATGGATTTGCAAATTCCCTGAATACATTTGTTTGGCAATCAGGTAGAGCCAGAAGAACAGTGTAGCATGAAGAGTCTGCCCTATTATTTATGTATTGTTTTGTTGCACTGCTGATTTTGTATTATCTCTACTACTTTATTATTTATTTATTTTGTTTTTTGGGGTTTCGACAACTTGGGGTAAAGTATACAATCCTTCTTTAACCCCATCTCCACTACTTCTCCCAGGAACCTTCAAAAATTGAAGTGGGATGAAAGCCTAGCTTGGAAATGTTGCTAAAATGTCATTTTCCAGCCATGTTTAAAAGGAGTGTTTGAGAGTGGAGGAAGACAACAAGCTAGCTTCTCCAATGTCTACATGTCTAGAATTTAAGTAAGAAAGAGATAAACATGTTTTCCAGATAAAATAATGATTTTTAAAATTAAAGGAATATCAAATAAAAATAATTCACATTGCCTCTTCACTTTTATATTCTTATGGAAAAATATAATTTTAGACCTCTCTCTCTAAAACTGTCAAAGTAAGCTTTTTAAACAGCTCTGTTGTGTTCCATCATCAATTGTAGCTTTAAGATCCCTAGTAACATCTCTGCACCTCCAGCTTAGGAAAGGAAGGCCCCTGAGGTGCCTGACTATTTGCTCTATAATTAGGGATTCATTTTTTTTGTTGTACATGGACACATGTATTCTAAAATACCTCATGACAAAAAAGAAAAAATGATCATAACATATGACATGTGCCTCAAAAACTTCAGAAGTCTTAGGGCCTCACTTTCAAGTGTTAAGTAGTGTAAAGACAAAAGGCTGATTATAAAAATCACAGATGCAATGCCTTGAAAAATATTCTTGGCACTGTAGTAAAAGGTTACTTAAGCTTTACACTTTCACATCTCAAAGCACATCACATGATTTCTCCCCTCCAAAAACCAGCAAAGCACATATCCTGCTAGCAATTTAAATAGGAGAAGAAAAAATTAATACAGTCCTCTGCTTAGATTAAATTAGGGGTTAACAGGGGAAATGGCATAAAATTCAATCATCAGTAAACTGGCAAGGGATATTCTAATTTATATTCAATTTTTTTGAAATTGCTTAACACCTATATAATACAGATAACTCTATATTCAGTCCAACTCAACAAACATTTAGGCACTGCTAGGCACTAGTCATGACAAGATAATGTAGCCACTCATATTTGCTTGGGTTCTGTTCTAATGTAGTCATTCCCCATGTTGTATCTAAGCATAGACTCTTAGATGCCCTTTATGTGACTAATTTCCATCTCTACAAGGCAAGGCTTATTTATTTAATGTTCCAGATAACGTTTCTAGGTAAAACATTTACTTGCATGCTATACATGGTACATGCACACATTCCACTGAGGTTAGCTTAGGTTTCCATTTGCATTATGCAAAAGAGTGGCCACACATAAATTGGTTCTTTTGATGATTTAACTGAATCATATGATTAAGGGTAATCATCATGTCTCCTGAGAGGTCCAACACAAAATCTTGACAAAGCTTAGTGTCTGAAAATTCAAACTGTAATCATAAATACAATTTATAATTGATAAATTATTCTTCCTATTATACCTTAACCCACAAATTAATGAAGTGAAATCACATTTCTTCAAATACTAAAATAATAATAGTAACTTAAATATATAGTACTTCTGAGTTTACAGTAGAGTTGCCCTCATAACTTTTCCCTCACAACAGCTCTTTAAAGACAGGGGCAAAGTAGCTATTTTATATATTTTATTGATGAGGACACTAAGATTGAGAAAAGACATAAGGTCACGTGGAGAGTGAGTGCATAAGACTAGATTCAAACCCAGGTCTTCTGATTTCAAGCCTAGTGATCTTTCCACTTTGAATTTATGAATTTTTTGAATCAACAAGATTAATGCCTCTTTTGCTTTACTTATCTCATTATACATGCAAATCTACCGGACTCTAGAATTATAAATTATAAGATTAGGATTTTTTGGAATATTAGGTTATTTTCTGTATAAAGAAAGAGTAAAGAGCAATGATGTCAAACTTATAGTAAATTAAAATGCCATTCTCTTAATCCTAGTAATGACGTGTGTTTAATAAAATTAAATAGAGATTCTCAAGTAGCTATTCAGAGAAAAACAGTGTTAAAATTTTAGATCTACAACTCTGCTTAATTTTCTGAGTCTCCAACAAATAAAAGTATGTATTAGTTTGCTCCTCTCAGTTATGTTTCAATAAATGTATATGGATATATACATAAAACCACATTATATGTCACCATATTATATATATACATATATTTAATAGAAGTTAAAGAATATATTATGATTGCTGAGCTTTCCTCAGAGGTTTACAAGTACTCTTTTTTTTTCTTTTAAACTACATTAGGTTATGGATTTGCCAGTATATTACATAATTCATAGTCATACATTGTGCATACTGATTTCATTTTTTAAAAAAGATTTTTCCAAAGTGGCATTTCTTCTTGAATGCAGAACATTTAACCATACATATTAAAAGGTAATAAGCTCTAGTTTCCCATAGTCTAAAGGGTGATTTTGTTTTGGTTATTTGAATTTGTAAACACTGAGATTATAGCTGTTCTAGTTTATTACACCTTTGCCTCACACAACCCCACTATAACTTAAATGCTTTCAAAATGTATAAGGATTGAAAATACTGTTAATAGCTTAGTAAATTTTTCTCACATAGAAAACTTATTTAAGGAAAGTTGCCTTCTTTTGAATATTGTCTTTGATATTGTACAGTAACATAAAGATATCTATAGGAATGCTCTAGTGACAGTTACCAAGGTTGTGTCCAATTCAGGGGGCCAAATGAGTAGGAAGATATTGTGATTTTTGTTAGTTATCAAGCAACGAGGGGAAAGCAGGTTTATGAGGGATCTGGAATTTGAGTTATGTGAGGACCAATTGAAGGAACTAGAGATATTTATCTTGGGGACGATGAGATTTGAAAGAAGGTTGGGGAGGGTAGTGATGATAGGCTTCATATATTTGAAGGACTAACACGTGGAAAAGGGAGTAAAATCTTTCTTCGCTGCTGCCTTTAAAACTTCTATCAATGATAAACATTACAGAGAGATAAATTTTCATTTAACGTATGAAAGACCATTCTAGGAATTATAGCCATTCAACTCTCCAGGCACTGGAGGGATTCAGAAAGACTTTGGATGACTATTTGTCAGCAAGGTCACGTCTTCACTGTTTGAAATACTACACTAGATCAGGACTCAACAAATTTCCTTTAGATCTGCGGGCTACAGCTCAAAAATGAGGTGCTAGATGAGTCTTTTAGCTTTCAGTGAAAGAAAAACAAGAGGGTGCAAAGGCAACATGTTGTCATAGAACATTGGTTTACTCCCTCAAGTCAAGATCAAATCCATGTCACCAAGAGTCTACTAAAGCACTTGGAGACTAGTTTGTATAGGGTCAAAGTGGTATTGAGCAAGTTGTGATGAGACAAGTGGAAGTTTTAGTAGGTATTTGCCTGACCTTCCATCTCTAACTAACCTGTGGTCTGACCATTCTTTATCTCTTCCCATCTGAATTGGAGTAGAGAAGAATCAGGGCTAGTCCCTCTCCAGTAGGGGCCACTGGCTTCCTACAGCTCTTTGCTGCAAGTTATGCCATGGTCCAGTGCTGTGTACTTCTCTTCAAGTTATGGTGAGAATCAAATAAAAAGAAATTTACTTTCATTGTTACAAATAAGATTTCACTAAAAACACAATGTCGTGATGAAATTGCAAGAATGCATAGCAACATGGCACCTGGAATTCGAGAGTGCGAAGCTAGGTGATCCCTAAGGTTCAAATCTAAATTCTATGATTCACTGCACCAAGACAATGTGTACATCCAGTGTACCAGTAGATATAGTCCCC